GATCATTGATTTTTTGAATGAATTATAGAGAATCGATTTCAAAAACCTGCGATCTACTCGAGCCGAATTCATCCCGAGAGTGGAACATGCTGAAGATACTTCGAATTTCGAGGCAGTTGAGGTCAGTGAGAACTTTCCTTGGTTGCCTTTTGACCAATCGATTATCGATTTTTATTTGTTCTTCTTCAGATCAACGAGTCCCCCTTCGAAACCCTTGGGAAACGAGCGCCCAACAATCCAGCCTTTTACGAGTTCACCTTTCGACATTTCTTCGACACTGATGGCCAAGGATGTCCAAGTCTACGACCTCCTCAGAAACGCCCACCACTGGCTCCTCTCTTCGAGGGCACTTGCTCGGCTCGTCATGAGACCGTCAGCAGCTCGGAATCGATTGTGATATGATGTCCACTAGACAGCGTTTTTCACATAGAATTTTCACCCATGGTTGTACATAATAATGACCGCCTAACCGCAAGCACGCTAAGCTTCGCCCACAACACAATGCACAGCCGGGCCGCGGACTCGGTCTCCACCCCTCCTGGACGAGTTGGCCGCAATGTTGCCTGAAGGTTGCGATCACGGGCCAATTTCTAAACAACCATGTTGAAATGGACAGTGTGTACCTCAATTAAGCTCGCCCGTCCAGAAGTTAATAGCGTGCCACAAGGCTTCTATTTGTATTGCTTTGTCATAGTTTCTCGGATTCGATATCTTGAAGTTTCCAATGGTTCTAGGTGGGTTTCGGCCGATCCAACTTCATAATTGTGGGCGGGACTTTTTGAGTGGGCGGAGCTTCACGATATTCGTTAATGATTCCTTAGGTGGTGGCGTATCGATTATTGAAGTGTGTCATGTAACCCATGAAGTAGTAACGATCGAGTTCAATTTGAGAAATTAATATATCGATTGTCGAAAGGTTTACCGTACCATCCGCTTTTCTAGCTTTTTTGGTACATCCCCATATTAATTCGGTTACTTAACATAGTCTAGTTCTCTCTTCATATAGTTAATGGTTATATTATTACAAGTATAATGGCTACTTAATGATGACAGTTGCCTTGTTGAGTGAGATTATTAAGAATTTAAGAATTTTGCCTATTATTCTTAATTTAACATGTTACTATTGCGCACTGAATGACGAATTATTCTCTCAACATTTCCATGGTAGCTACGGTAGATGCGAGACGGGTACCGAATCTCAGGGTTCGACGCGGAATTCTGATATATGCAGAGATTTTCTTCCCATTGTTAATTCTTCTTTTCGCTATATAGATTTCCATATGACGATTATAACATTACTGTGTACTGTTTCATATAATAGTTAAGTATATATACTATTTGGTGTATACTAATGTAAAGTGAGATGATGGTGAGCTTGATGATAATGATGATGAGGATGAAGATGATGAACGAAAGAGATTTGATGATGTGTAGTGGTTGTGTCATTGTCGTGGTAGTGGTCAAAGCTTCCCCTTTGCTCAACCAGTTACTATAAATTATTTATGTGAATAAAAATTTCGAATATAACGATGTTTCAAACATAATCAAGCCTCTTTTGACCGTCTGTCTCCACTCGACCAAGAAGGAATTTTCCTTGGGTGTCGGACTTCTCACGTTACCAAGGTCACCCTTTCACTGGCCTAGCTATGGTTTTCTACACCGACACTCTTATTAGACTGCTTTCATAGTTTGCGGGCCGTACGGACCGTAGAAAGCGAAGAGCGTCAACGCGCGCTCTGGTGCACGATGCGTACTTGGCGCGCAATCGGCGATAATCCTAATTTCAAAACGTTTTTTTTTTATTTTTTCACGTTTTGTGTGCCGTTTTTGCTTCCACCCGCGCTTGTTTAGCTCAAAACTTCTTTTTTTGTATGGATTACTGCTTTTGCTTACTAATGAACTCACCTAGGCTTACTGCCACTTCCAACACTGTATGAACCTAACCATTCTAGGACAGTTGAAAAGCAATGATTCACACAAGAAAGAAAAAGATCCTCGCTAAAAATACGAGCGAAAGCAACGCGGCACGTGGAACACCTGAAAAACATAAGGAGAATCTAATAAAACCGAATTTACCGATTGGAAGTCGCCGATTGCGCGCCAAGTACGCATCGTGCTGGGTTTGGGTTTATGCTTGGCGAAAGTGCAGCCACCTGGCCATACAAGGAACACAAATCGAACAAAGACAACTCAAGTTCGGTAAGGACGGTGGAGCTAGTGAATAAGAATGTTCAGTTTTGTCAATCCACCCATAACAGTCCCCAGAGTAAAGTTCGCAGGAGCCCCGCCGGGGGGGGGGGGGGGGGGGGGGGGGGGGGGGGGGGGGGGGGGGGGGGGGGGGGGGGGGGGGGGGGGGGGGGGGGGGGGGGGGGGGGGGGGGGGCCGCACACCACCCGCCCACTCGGGAAAATTTTAGCATGACAATAATATTGTGATTTGAATGGAGGGTCGCATTTCAATATTAGGGGAAAAACGGCAGAGGAGAAAAATTGAGGCAAGGTTCCTCACGAAAAATTTAGCCATGTTGATTTTCGAAAGCTAAGCAGTAATAAACACTTGAAAGCGGGAGCAGGATGAAGGAGTAGTGTGCCTAGGTACTGAAGTAGGCGTAGTTTTCCACCGAGCTTTTAACGACTTTTCTGATGCCATCGATGTAGAAAACTGTTATGATTGCTGATAGAATGGAATGTGCTCTTCAAACTTCAGTTGGAAGCATAAATAAGATAAAGGATAAAGCATTTGCCGTTGATCAATCCCTTTTGGGATGCGGCACGCATTCTACTTCCATTTGTACATTCGTAGTGGCGTTTGAATGCGATGTGGCCTATACAATGACTTGCGGGGGCCAGCCGATGTACAAGTCAGTGTTTTTATCCTCCCAGACAAGTCTGGTACCAATTAACCGACCCCGGAGGGATGGAAGGCTTGGTTGGCCCGGGCGACTCACGATTTGATCCCGGACCGCTCGCGTGGTAAGCGCGCCACTTGTCACTACACCACTTCCGCCCTAGCTGGAAGCATACGGTTTGAATTCAGCCAAATGTGATTATCGCCGTTTTGAACGTGAAGTGTCACTCATTTTGGCCACCCCTGTAGAGTAGGGAAACAGCTGTGACTGTCTTCCTGCTATGAACCCTGCCAGCCAGTGTTTAGAGTGCAGCTTTGTTGAATGATTTGAATGGTTATTGATCTGATCTGTCCGCAATGAACTTGGAATAATCTTTATTCCTGAACTGTCAAACTATTCGAATGGCGGGCTTCAGTGAGCCCGTAAGGAATCTATGAAAGCAATATAACTGCTTTTTTTTGATCTCCGAATATGATGATGAATTGCTCGGTGGTCTCCATCAACATAGGGTCCATGAGGAAGTGCGAAGGAACCGGCGCCACTGCAAGCGTTTCTTACCGATGCATACAATCGTAAGTACTTTCTGTACTATATAAAAATGATTTAAATCTGTAGCTAGCTAATATTATGAGTCTAAAAGAGACACGTAAAATGATGACAGGCATATATTGTTAATTTGCTGCTTTTTCTTTGTCCTCATTGTGATAATTGCGACACAATATTTAAATAAATAAATATAAACTTTGAAATGCTGACAGCGACAGAGACTAGAGTTTTCCACTTTACTTGATGATACAGGACAAGAGTGGTGTTGTAGCAAGTGGTGTTGCTACAACACGCATACGATCCAGGG